TTTTTCTTGCATTGGAAGTGACAAACTCCCCAACAAAATAAGGGAAATACTCAAAGCGAATTTTCATATGAGAAGCATCTTGCCTGTGTGACTGAGGGACATGCAATGGGTCACTTCATACTGACATAAGTATCAGTCATGCAATCTCAAATTTTAAGCAGTGTTTTCAGCTAACAAGTATGAGTAAGCTGGTCTGTCCAATAGCTGAGCGTTATGTCAATTAAAAGATGTGGTACTGCCCTGAGATCTGCTATCACAGATCTTGGAATGTCTTTTTTTTTTCTTTCTCCTTAAATATGAGTGCAGGGAACATCTCACATTTAGCAGGATTTCAGTTCTCTCTGTAAGGGTCTTGTCAAAGTAGTTCTCTGGTGCTTGGGACAGATTTAGGTATCTTGCATGACATCTGAGTTCAAGAGAGACAGAACACTAAAACTTTCCATATCAAGGGCTATCTGATCATTGTTGTCCAAATATGGAGATCCCACAAGATCCCACAGCTTCATATTGAGTTTGAACTAGATCTTTTCCTGGACATTAGTCTGTAGACTAGTCAACCATCAGTAGTATTTACTCAGCATAACTTTACATCTTGAATTGGAGACTTGCTCTTTTCCGGATAGCATGATCTAATCCAGCAATGATGGAGAGCAGTAAATATGTAGCATGCTCAGTCTAGGAAGTTAACTTAACCCTTTTCTGTATGAGAACTTTTGGTTTGGTTTATGTTCCTGAGACCTAGGATTTGCTACCTGACCTTTCCTATACTCTTCTTCCATGTGAAGGTTTTCACAATAGGTGTGAAAATAAAGCTGATATTTTGGTCCTCACACTATTATTGCACTAGTTTTTCCTCAATATACCTTGCTCCTGTGTCTCAGGTATCGTGCTCGAACACATTATTCATCTTCCTTCTAGTGATCCAGAGGGGTAAATTCGGCTGGAGAAGAGACACTATTTGCATTCAAATTGAAGTTGTTTGTTTTAATTTAGTTTTATTTTAAGTCATTCTCAAACCTGAAGAAAGCTACCCAACAGAAACTGCCATTGCTTTTATGTCAGTGGCTGGGGAATGAAGACAGATGACAGCTTTTAAGGTAGAAGGAGCTATCATAACATTTTTAACTGAGTTTCTGCATAAGTCATAGAACGTCACTTGGTAATTCCTATATGAATTCAACATGTTGAATATAGGTGATGATGGAAAACTTGTAAATCGAAGCTTTTGTTACCTGAAGTAGAATTGTATGTAAGATGGGCGGTGAAAAGATATTCTACCCCACAATACCATGCATGTCATTAGCATTTAATAAAGCCAATGGGCAAGGAAATGTGAAAACATCTATTACAAATAATTCTGGCCATATGTACTTGAGGAATTACTGCCATTGGTGAGTGGGGATCATTTGGCAGATATATTAAAAAAAAAAAAAAAAAAAGTTGTGCAGTACAGGGAATGAGGAAATACATGGCAGTTCTCAAAACTCTTGGCGAGAACTCTAGCTAGTGAGGAATACAGTTAAGATGACACAATTACGACTATTCCTAATTCATGAGTACCTCCTTACCTGGAAAACTGTTTTGAGGGACAAACTGCTTGTGAAATCTGGGAGATGGATGCTAATTTGCCTTTCTCCCTGTATAAAGTAAGAACTTTTCTATGTTTATACTCAATAGTGTCCTCTAAGATAGGGCTTATCGCATATTCTGTATTCATGCAGTGTTCCACAAAGAGGGAAAGCTTTTGGGGACATGGAGCTTAATACATACAAAAATCAATGTTTGCGACTTATATATTATTATCTATTTATAAATCAGAGTCTCATATACATAGCTAGGCAAAATGCTTATTCTTGCAGATGAAAGAAAGGAAAAGAATGACAAGGTAAAAATAAACCCGTGTGTTATTTCCTCTGTACAGCCTTGTTTTTCAATCCCTTGGGTTAATGATTTATGCTGAGAAGTGTCTTGAGATCAAACTTCAACCAGCTAATAAATGACAACAGGAATAGGAAATCATGTAAGTTTCATCATGCAGTTCCAGTTAGCGAGTTGTTGCACTGAACAATGAAAGGGCTGAATAAAAAACTTAGTCCTGAATGTGGGTCAGATCACCATGTCAGCTGGCCAACACATTAGGAATACACCTCTACAGATCACAAAACAGTTTTGAAAACTGCTTTACCGCATGCCTGTGACCATATCTGAGCTACCTATCTGCATTGCTTTTGTAGGTCTCTTTTAGGCTGTAATTCATCACAACTTAAAGTAGAGGTCTAAAATATGTAAGGTGTAACCCTCCCTACAGATGTCTATTTCTCTCCATTAGGCACAAAGGGATCTTGGGGTGGCCGGCTCAGGTATCACTGTAGCCTACAGTGGCTGTCAAACAAGCTCTTACTGCGCGTGTAGAAGACAAGCTTGTGTCAGATATGCATGGACATGCAGTTGTAACTCTTGAATTATTTTCCAGGTACCTGGCTTAAGAGACACCATGCCTTTATCTGTCTGGCAGTAATCTGGGCCTATGCTACATTCTGGGCTACGGTGCCTTTTGCTGGTGTGGGGAATTATGCTCCTGAGCCTTTTGGGACCTCCTGCACTCTGGACTGGTGGCTGGCGCAGGCATCTGTGGCTGGACAGGCTTTTATTCTGAGTATTCTTTTCTTTTGCCTCCTGTTCCCAACTGCAGTGATTGTGTTTTCCTATGTTAAAATCATTTTAAAAGTCAAGTCATCCACCAAAGAGGTTGCTCACTATGATACCAGGATTCAGAACAGCCACATACTTGAAATGAAGCTGACCAAGGTGAGTAGGAAGATTTAACTCGGTTTGCTTCGTCAGATCCTAGAAACAGGCTTGGAGAAATTCAGCAATATCTAGTTCCATGCTGTACTAGGTCTATTATGTTGAGTGATAGTATGATGCTCTGAAAGTGGTTGTTCTAGCTTTCTCCTCCGCTTCTGTCAAGGTGGGATAAGAAGGGAGCTGTAACATAGTTTTGTGATTAGGGCACCAGAGTCCCTGAGATCATGATTCAGTCTGAAGCTCTGCCATAGACTTCCTGCATGACCTTAGCAAAGTCATATAATCTCTCTGTGGCCCTGTTCCCCATCATAAAATTTCCTTACCTTTCAGAAGCAGTTGTAAAGAGTTATTTTAAGGTATTTGAGGTGCCCAGGAATTATAATAGAAAAAGAGATAAAAAACAGATTGTTGCAGCAAGGAAATAAAACTTTCATATGGCTTATATTTCTTTATTAATGAAGATATAAACAAAAGGCACTCCTGTGATACTGCAGTTCTTTTGCAAATAATTTATCATTTAGTTTCAACCATGAGCTGCTGAAAAAAAGGAACACAAGTGATAAAAATTGTTTGCCATCTCAGGCTATACTTTATTTTCCCTTTCTGATTTAATCCCTTTTTCTGTTTGGCAATGGTGACAGCCATAATCCTTGCTGATACTGGTTATTGTGCCAGCAGTTTGCTCAAGATAAAGACTTATAACAAGCACAATGAGATTTCTTAGTTGTAAAAGATTCACCGACCTCTCTGAACCAGGTCAGGAGGGAGGCAAGCAACATGTTTGCTTGACTGATCAAACATTTATTTTATTACATTTTGGGGAGTTTAACTGAAATTATAAGACATATAGCAATAAGAAATATTGTGCCAGAACATATCTAGGAAGCTCAGCTTGCTACCAGTATAGTTAGTGCTGCCAATATAGCTGGTAAAGACATACTACTAATGTTGGGTTATATGTAAGTTGGAAAATGAGTCTCCGTTGCAACCCATTCAGCTACACAGCACAACTTCTAAAATAGGACGAGGTTGCGATCCCTGGCTCATATGCACCATATCTCAAGGGATGAACAATAAAAGAGCATAAAAGCATAAATTTATCCCTCAGTAACGTTGCCATCATGATGTGGAACCAAAGGTTGAGGACAATGCAATATCCTAAAACTTTTGCTTGCTGGCGACTTTTGTGTTGCAAACCTGCTGATTGCTTCTTTCCAAATGACTATGCCATGTACACGTCAGTCAGGATGCTAAATAATAGTCTGTCAATGGTAGCAGTATGATGGAATATGTTCTTCAGAATGTGTTATTATGTGATGCGATTTGAAGCCACGTCATGCTGTGACTGAGCACAGTCAGTCTGGTTCGGGTAAAACAAAAGCATCACAAATTTTGCCTCCGAATATATTTTATTTAATATTTAAGTTAAATATTTCTGTGACCTCATTTCTTGACATTATAAGGAAGTGCTTTTCTCATTTACCAGGAATTGCAACCAAAATGTTCTGTAGACATTTGTTTTTTCTAAACATCTACAGGTTCTAATGGAGTACGAAGTCCATAGTATGATTTGGCAAAAGAAACACTAGATAATGTAGTAGAGTTGTCACTCTCAATTAAATTCCCATTAATTTCAATTCCAGCTTATGCAGGTAAATACATAAATTTCTATCTATTGTAATGGATATTCCTAGGGCCTTGACAGCATGTGCTTTCTTAAATGGCTTCACTTTTGCTTTTTTCCATGCTGAAAAGGATTCAAATTATTGGCATTTTTCCACTGGAAGATAGGTCACAGACCCCACCCCAGGTGCAGGCAGAAGATGAAGTTAATCTGGCCAAGCTCTTTTCCTTCCTTCTCTTATAGATGTCATCCACCCTGACAGGTTATCGGTTGCACTGGGTTTTGACATCTTCTCTGTGCCGTGTCAGCATAGCCTACGAGAGGGGAAGAAGCCTTCTATATATAGAAGACTAGGACATTGCAGCTTATTCTTTCCTTCATCCCAGCTCTTTTTGCTCTTGTCTCAGTGCCTGGTTCTAGGTGATACAGAAGAAAGAGCTACAATAGATATAGACGGGAATATCCCTTCCTAAACCCACTCACCTACAGACACTTTCAGGATCCTCTGCTCCTAAGTACCTTCAGGACCTACTTCAGTCCTGGAAACTTCTTCAAACGCTTTGGTTTTATGACATTTGGAATCTGATTTCAAATGACCCAGAATGTGGAAGACTTGCCCTTGATTAGATCTTTTAATGTTTTGTTTTCCTTCTGCATGCCAGTTTCATTCTGAATTAAAAAAAATTTTTTTTGACAACTCTAAGGAGTATTTGATTGTAAGAAGATAGCCTCTTCCAGTATGTAGAAGTGAGAGACTCCTCACTTTTAACCTCTAAAAAGAACAACTCTACAGGAAATGTTTCCAATTTAACCAGCATTCATTTCAAATGATTTCGGATCTTCATAAAGTTGTCCAAGAATTTCACGTTTTTATGTTAAATTTTCTTAAAAAGAAAAAAAAAAAGAGAGTCTCTATTCTTTAAAAGGATTTCCCCCCTTACATGATTTAAATTTGATGTCAAGGACTTATTATTTTCTGAGATCTCATTTACTTTCCTCATGTTTAGCCTGACTTTATGGCATTTTAAAAGGTCTGTGGTAACAGAATTACTAGCTATTCTGCGACAAGTCAAAGGCAAGCAGGAGCTAAATTAAAAAGATGTGAAATGTGTGACAGCTTTTGTTCCTGCTGCTGTAAACTTATCTGAAGTAGGTTACAATTTTTCCACTCTGTTGCACATTCCCCGGCGTTCTGCATAGCTCTGTGCTGTCAGTAAGGAAAACTCTGCTAGATTAACTTCTTTCTCTCTTTTCTGTTTTCCTCTCACAAGGTGGCAATGTTGATCTGTGCAGGATTCCTCATTGCCTGGATCCCTTATGCTGTGGTGTCTGTGTGGTCGGCGTTCGGACAGCCGGATTCAGTTCCCGTACAGTTTTCAGTGGTACCAACTTTGCTTGCAAAGTCAGCAGCCATGTACAACCCAATTATTTACCAGGTCATTGATTGTAAGTTTGCCTGTTGCCGGTCGGGTGGATTGAAGACTTTGAAGAAGAAGAACTCTTTGAATAAATCCAGGTATTTTTTTTTTCTTTGAGTAGTAGGATATCTTTAAGTATACAGTGCTCTAGACAGCCGTTCTAAAAATTTACCCAACATAAGATCTGCCCAGAGTCATGGCTCTTCTGATCTTATTTCTTGTTTCTGTTCGTGACCCATGCAGGGTCTTTCTTGTCAGGAAACTTCATGAGGTGATTCTAGCTGTGTGAAGGAGAACCAAGGAGATGGTTACTACAGATCCATCTGTAAAGTCATTAATGTAATGGGAAAAAATCCCTTTGAATCTGGCAATTTTCCTGCCCTCCTGTTCCTTTTTTTTTTTTCATGTCATCATAAAAGCCACCTCTAGAAGGTGTTTATGACCTCCATTCCTAGTAAAGTAAATGGGAGAGAATTGTGTTCAGCCCTTATACAATTAATGTGTTAATACCAGGCCTTTCAAATCCAGAGTTAGCCGAGAGAGATGTTAGTTCCTCAGAAACCGTCTAGGTACCACTCAAGGTTTGTGTCTGTTCCTGTCTAGAAGATATGCAGAATCCAAATGGCTGTTCACTCCCCTCCTGTCCTATTCAGATCAGGGTTACATCTATTTTTAATCATTCATAGGAAGAGGAAGGGGGGGAAGGCAAACTGTCTTTCCGCTTCCACCAAAGAAAAAATCCCAAAGCACAAAGTGTAATAAGGTCTTTGTTTTATCTACAACTTTGTGGCAAACCTGTGCTGACTGTCAGTGGAGTTCATGGAAATACTTACTGTGTAAATGCAGGAAAAAATTGACTTCTCAGCTCTGTAGTGTGTCACACATATTTTTCTTTTCTGATAGACCTAAAATAAGACAATATTATTTATTACTATGACAGTGTAGGTTGGCATAAAGGCCACAGCTGACCTGCCAGATCTAAGTGACTGGAAATCCTTAAAATCCCAGGAGGATTATTTACTTCAAAATCCTGGCTTTTGCCTCAGTATTGCACCTATTAGAGGCGTGAAGGCCTATTTCATCAGTCATGTTGTTCCCATACCAATTCCAGCATTTTTTTAATGTAACGTCCAGAGGAGGTGTCAATATCTCAGGCTTCCACAACTTCCCTTAGCGTAGCGTTCTACGACCTTACGTTCAGATTTATCACATCAGAACGTAACAGATCCTATATACGTTACACGCGTTTAACTGAGGTGCCTGAGTGATAGTTTACCAAGGACCTTGGCAATTTTAGGCAAATGGGAGACAACTCTGAGGTACTCTTCTGTTCTCCTCGTACAGAAAAAAGAGAGAAGCTGACAAGACTATTCATGTTAGGTACTTTGATTAGGCAGGAGCAATCTTATTGGTAGGAAAATGCCATATTTTAAAAACAGGTTTCAGACTCAGGGTAATAAAATGAATAAATAAATAAAGCCTAAATCTGCATGCAGTGTGGAGAAATGGAGAAGAGTGAGGGTCCCTATAAAGCTATTTGGACCTTCATTTACCAGAGTGGCAACCTGCCACCCCACTTACCCTCCAGCTATAATCTCTTTTCATCCACACCCTCACAAGTATGAGATCTAACTCTGGTCAGCCTCCCACCAATATGTGCCTCCACTTTATGTTTACATGGAAAACAAGGGCGTGTAGCTTGATTTCTGGCACCTATTGGAAACGTCAGTAATTTATAGGCGTCTTCCTGTCCCTTCCACATTGATGCCGTTATTACTCCTCTGCATCTCCACAGCATTTGTCCACACATTTGGAGGCCTCTAGGGCCTCAGTGGCTGGATTTGCGTTTAATGTCTGTGTTAGCACACCAACGAAGGACGGGTTTACTAAGCCTGTGTGGGGAACAAAATGTTCTGGAAAAATCCCTTCCCGGCACTGGGAACTTAATCATTAGCTTGTTTCAAGCAACATAATTTCTCTGCTTCCTCTTTCCCATAGGATGTATACCATATCTGCAAATAGAGATTCGACAGCAATGAACGAAACCCAGCTGGAAGTATGAAGGCTCATTTCATATACAGCAGATGAAAACCTGATGACAAACAATCATATTGTCTCAAATTCCTCTTTCTGTAAATAAATTAAAACATGATGACAGTTTTATTTTACTCTCTCGTCCTATCTACAATGTATTTTTTTTTAATACTAATTAAAATAGTGTTATTAGAGCTGGGGAAATATTTCAAATACTCAGAGGAAGAAGAAACAGAGATGGTTCACTTACATAAGAATTCTGACTTCATTTGAGAGCCTTTGAAAAAAAATTTTTTTTTTTGAGGATTCACAAATGTGCTATTTTTCCCATCATGAAAAGTGAAGTGTTCACAAAGGCCAGTTTTACTCTGCTAAAGCTAATCTCCCTAGATTACTCCTACAGTCACTGGAGAACCAGAGCATGAGAGAAAGGATTCCGTAGAGGACAAATCAGAGCAGGAGCTTGGTTTATCTGAATCACCCGCTGGAGAAACATGGCAGCAATAACCCCAATAATTATCCTTTTGAATGTCTATCCCTCCAAACTCTTGTGGCTACAAGCCATCTCAAAACCGCTTTGGTTTCGATTCTTCTGTTTTCAAAGATTTTTTTTTAATCCAGGCAAGATCAGAAGCAATGCTCATGTAGTCACACTTGTACATCACAGATAGGCAGTATTTGAGAGTTAGAGAGGAAAAACTCTTACTCAAATATTAGACTAATTCAAACAATTCAGAATCATGACTTTATGTGTATCAAAAATCAGAACCTAAACGGAATCAGCCCCATACAAGCTAAACTGGACAAACCAGTATTTTGTCCATCTCTTTGGCTTTCTCTAGTCAAAAACGCAATGATGTATAGTGGCAATAAGCAGATGTTTTTGACTTCTTAAATGCTAACTGATTTTTTTTTTGCCTTATATTGTACGTTCTACCATCTTTTATGAGGTCAGTATTAAGCATAAAAAGGCAAATCCTTCCTCACTCCTAAGTATGAACATAAACTTAAAACTAAAGAATTCACGGCAAAGGGTGCAGCATGGGGAACAGATGTCCCTTGCAGGTGCAGTTGCATCTACAGGCACCAGGCCCTGGAAGGAAGAGGATTGGGAATGGTTCAGTTGATGCTCCTAAGAAAAGCATGTAAGTTGCTAATATACTTAATGGAAAAACAGAATACTTTGAAAAGATCTGCAGAGTTCGTTAGGCAGCCAGAATAGTTACCCTGGATCTAGGCCATAATTGTTTACATTTATTTTTTTTCCTTTTCTGCATTTACAGTTTCGATGGAGGCATCATTACAGAATAAATATTAGCAGTCTTCTACGAGTAGATTATTAATTCTTAAAATATTATTCTGATGTTTGTATATGATTTCTTCGGGAAGAATTTGATACTCTACAGAACAGGTTAAATTCAAATCAATTCATTTGTATTGGTTGTTCATTTAAAAAAAGTTACA